GTCATGATCCTGGAGTCCCGGGATCGAGTCCCGCATCGGGCTCCCTGCTCGGCAGGGAGTCTGCTTCTCCCTCTGACTCTCCTCCCTCTCATGTTCTCTGTCTCGCATTCTCTCTCAAATAAATAAATAAAATCTTTAAAAAAATAAAAAAAAATAAAACCAAACCAAACCAAACACTGGTTTTCACACATACACTTAAAGGATGCTGATTTCAGAGTTTTCACATTTTAGGCTACTTTAATCTGAAACTGTCTTTCTAACAACTTGAGGCGGGAGGTCATCTTACAGGATCTGTTTTTCAGAGCACACTGAGATCGGTGGACATCCAGGCTCTTCCAGACAAGGGTCAGAAGTTGCTCCAGCAAATTCAGGAGTTGGAGGAAGCCCTTGGTGCTCTTGCCCTCACCGCAGAGCCAGGTAAAATGGGTTACGCCCCAGAACTCGGGGTTTGCAGGAACTTTAAAAGAGACATTCGAGAAGCCCTTTCAATAAAGAATATGTTGACCCATTCACCTTTCCATCTGATTATCTACTTCTGAGCTTTTCAAAATTACACTTGTGATTTATAAAAACTTCCTTCATTTCCTGTGGACTCAACTCTTTCCCATCGTTTAAGAACTTTTCAGTGCTGTGCTCTTGAGGTCTTCCCCAGCTCGTTGGAGTGGTAGTGATCCCACCCTCTTTTGACCTCCTCTCACACATATAATTCCTTTGCTTTCCTGAACTGTAGCCTGTTCTTTCCTTGTTTTTTTGTTTTTACTGAGCAGACACTAATGAGAAGAGTAACGCTCCAGTACCACAACAGAGACACAGCACCAAAAGTACCACTGAGCCCCCTCACTTGGTGCCTCCCCGACCCCTGCAGGGCCAGGGTCTCCAGCCTCTGGGTTCTCAAGGACTGAAGGCTGCCTGCCCGGTAGCTGCTGGGGGATCCAGTTGGTGCTATGGAGGTAAGATCCAGGGGCCTGGCCCTGGGGTGAATAGCTACCCCTACAAGTTAAAGGCTGCCGAGGAGATGTCTCTGTGCCCATGTGAAGGGAGAGGCCGTTCTGGAGTTGTCAGTTGCCTGTATGATACAGATTGTGATGCTCAGCTGAGCTTTGCACAGCATTTAGATTTCTGTGCCTGCCTTGTTCACCGGCCGTAATCAGTCAACCCAGTGGCCGGCACATGGGAATCCTCTCGTAAATGTTTGTGAATGAAAACTTAAACTTACACCACGATGAGGTAGGCAGACCAGCGGGCACATTTGCACCCCATGTGTTAAGGCAGAGCAGAGAAGTGACGGAAGTCAAGCTGATGACCAAAGACCCACCGAGAGCAGTGACACCCTATTTAAAGGAGTTTCCGTCCTGAACTTTCCAGAAAACTGTGGTTCAGAAGTAACTGCAAATAAAGATCATATGTCCTAGGATGGGTTGGTTTGCTGATCAGGAGATGGGACCCGAGCTCACTGGTCTGGTTGGCTGGTAGTGACTGGAAAAACTAAGGCCAGTTTTCTCCCAGCTGAGGAGCACTAGAGAACTGGAACGGGAAAAGGAAAGAAGCAAGGAAACCGAAAAAAGAAGGAAAGGGAGAAAGTGGAAGAGTGATAGTTAACAGGGGGTCAGAAATAGATTCGGTGCCAGATGCAGCTGAGGCCAGCCTAAAAAGGAACAGAAAATGCGTTCGTTTCGGGGCGCCTGGGTAGCTCAGTTGGTTAAGCATCCGACTCTTGATTTCAGCTCAGGTCATGATCTCAGGGTCATGAGATCAAGACCTGCGTTGGGCTCTGTGCTCAGTGGGGAGTCTGCTTGTCCCTCTCCCTCTGCTCCCCCCCGCTTTGCACACTCGCACATACGTGCATGCTCGCTCTCTCAAAATCCTGGCACAGTGCGGTCAGCGTGTGAGGTGCACATCAGGGGCTGTCTCCCTGTCTACCTAAACATCCACGGATTTAACCTAGCCCAGCCTTCCCTGTTGCTGGCTTCCCTTCTTTGCACCCAACTCCAAGGATCTTTTCTTCCTAAAATAATGATGGCATTACCTTTTCCTCTGCCCCCTCTTTGAAACTGGAGAAAAAAAAAAAAAGGCCTACCAAAAATACTACAAGTTCTCTTTTTATTACACTTTCTGTTACTTTGCCCTTTATTATGTTAAGCGTGTGGTTAAACAAACAAACAGGAAATGGGGCTAGAGGAGCCTGCGAGGAAGGAAAATCGAGGGGCGAGAATTTGTAGTCCGTGCAGATCGGTTACCTGGCAAATCGTGAATTGCCGGTTTGCATCGTTAGCCAGGGCGGAGCACTTGTGACCCTTTAGATACCACCTGTCTGTACGCAGGTCCTACGAAACAGGACGGCCCCCATGCCATGTGGGAAATCATAAGTAAAGCCATTGATGAGCTGCACGCGTCCCTTGAGTCTCGGCCCGGTGAGACAGCCGTGGCAGAGGATCCAGCTGGGCTGAAGGTGAGCCAGGGGAGGCTCGTGGTGCAGACTGTGCTCGAAGGGTGTCCCTGCACCGCGGACCGGGAGACCCTGGGGGGCTGCCCTCCTGATGGATCTTTCCTACAGATAATGCTTTCGTGGCTTCCCTTCTAGTATTTTCTCCTCCTGTTTAGCACTGAGAAGAAAGTACAAAACCCACTTTTTTTTTTCTTAAAGCCACAAAATTCTGTAGGTCGATAGCAATAGAAGACCCATTTATTGAGCTTCGGTAGGTGCCACAAGGATGCAAAGGACTTACTGCTCTTAACTAGTTGGGGGGAGGTACATCTACAATATATATGAAACAACTAGAAAATGACACGAAAACAAAGGTAAAATGTGCTCTGTAACGGACCACAGACGGTATACGATGTACAAAAGGAATTCAAAATAAGGGAAGAGTCACCGTAGGTAAAGAATTCTTTGTTGCCTGCCTACCCTGTGCCTTCACGACGTTGCAAGCCCGAAGTAGTAGAGAGGGTAAAGCCAAACACTGCGGTTAGAGAGAAGAGGCCACGAGCAGGACTAGCCAATGAAGATGGGGAGCAGGTGACATCCCTGAGCGGGGCCCTCCCTTGCAGTACAACCTGGCACAGGGAAGCAGCTCAGATAGCCTCGCTCAGGAGATGGGATGACATCACATAGAATCGTGAGCCAGGTGTTTTCTGAAGATTGTTTTTGTCACGGGGTACAAGATGAGTAAGAAAAGACTGGAAGGGGGTGTCCGCCAAATTTATGACTCACGGTGCAGATGGGGACATTGCCTACAGAGAGGAGAGTCGAATTTAAGAGAGAACGAGGAAGAACCATCGGAATGGTTCATCAGTGAAAGGAAGGGGGCCGGTCAGAGGTCTTGGTTGCAAGCAGTAGAAACTGCCTGGCTGATTAAAGCAGACAGAATGAGACTCTCACTTGAGGGACGCTCTTGATAGACGTGCTGGCCAGTAGGGGCAAGTCTGTCCCAGGCAGGACGTGCGGTCACCCTGGGTGAGAGGTGGAGTCAAGGACCTCTGAGGTGCAGTGAGCAGCCCCATGACAGCTGGAATATTGGGAGGATCGCTTACAGAAAAGAGGAGAGGAGAGCGTGGAGTCCGTGTAGTCAGGATCCAGCCCCTCCTGAGGAATTTATACTCAGCTTTTGGTTCTTCCCTTTGTCAGCTCCCTTTGCTACTGCACCAGAAGCAGGCGTTGGCCTGGTTGCTATGGAGGGAAAGTCAGAAGCCACACGGAGGAATTCTGGGTGAGTCTGGTGTTACGTTAAGAGCCAACATGTGTATTGTTTCATTTGATCCTGTCAACAGCTCTGGGATGGGCATTCTGCTGCCCCCCTTTTACAGATGAAGAAACGGAGGTGCAGGATGGTAAAGCAACATAGTCAAGAGTATACAGCTGTAGGATCGGTCAGGTTGTGGCTGCAGGTGGTAGAAGCTGACTGTGGCTATTTAAGCAGAGGGAGAGTTCATTCTCTGGTGGCACAGAGAGTTTCTGGGAGGGGTGGAGAGCCAGGCTGGAGGCCAGACGTCTAGGAGCATGGCCAAAGTCAAGTAAGAACCTGAGGGTCTTGTGGGAACTGTCATGGCTGCTTTGCTCCATCAGACTCTAAAGGAAAGCATTGCCACCCCAAAGTCAGAGACTCCTGTCTCCACCCCTTCCTGCTTCCTGAAATCCTGAAAAAGGATTTCACAGGGAGCCTCTTTTCTCAAGTTGCTTACACATCTGAATTGAACTCTTGTGTGAGTACGTGTGTTCTCCAGAGCCAAGGCACACTGCCGGGGCCTTAGGTGCAGGGGACCCTAGAAAGCCAGTTTTCCGTGTTCTGCTTTGGAGACTCACCGAACTAAAATTTTCCAAGGTGCTCAGCTTCTAGAAAACATGACAGATGGCCACAGTGGCTAGTGAGTGGCTGTGACGGGGCTCCCCAGGACCACCTCCAGGATCGATGATTTGTGAGGAGGATGCACAGCATATAGTCGTACTCATGGCTAGGATTTATTACAAAATAAAAAAATAAAATTATTCTGATGTGTTGTAAGTTGAAATCTGCAAAGGGAAAAGGCCCACGGGACAAAGTTCAGGGGATACCAGGTGGAAGCTTCCAGAGGCCTTTCGCAGTGAAGTCACACATGTAAGATGTTGCCAAGCAGGGGAGTTTGGGCCCCAGGTGTTTACTGGGAGCTGGTCACACTGGTGGCTTCAGGCCTGGTCGGTCCTGAAGTGCCAGGCTTCCAAAAGGAAAGCAGATGTTCAGCATAAACCATAGTGTTTGTGCACACAGTGTAGGCACAGTGAGCCACTCTTAGAAGTTCTGAAAGTGGTGGGAACCCTGCTTGAATTGGAGTTCCCAGATGCCAGCCCACGGCCAACCCTGTCAGCAGGCCTTCCCGAGGATAGTGGTGAGGGCTGCTGTGTTAACTCCTTATCTGCACAGTTGCGGGGCCAGAATTTGAACCTGAACCCACGCTGTGACATTTTACTTCTGCTTATGTCAGAATGATTATTTAAACTGTTACAGTGAGGATGAGAATATTTTATAGGGTACAAATAGGAAATTCAATGAGGGAAGTTCAGTGATCGGCACAATGACAGTACCTTAGAAATGTTAGTTTATGCCCCTCTTTGATGAATAAGTTAAGGGAATGGGGGACTGTTTTGAATTAACTCCATCTACTGGATCTTTCTGCTTTGGGGGAGTGAAAAATTAAAAAACTGGGCAGTATCACCAAACTGAGACAGATACCAGGGAATGCATTAGATAAGTAACAATACATTGTGAACACTAGAGCAAGGTCTAAATAATAAGCTTTAAGTTTTGCAAAAGTCACAGTAAATGTCTCTGATCTAGAAAATGAGGAGCAGGGGCTAGGGTTCCTCTTCGTACACAGAGGCGAGGATTTGTTAGGGTCGGAAAGAATAGTGCCTAGACCAGCAGCAGGAAGTAAGGGCCAAGGTCTGCCAGTGGTTTCTTCTCTTGAAATGGAGGTGATTCTTTGCCCTGAGTGATAAACTCTCTGACTTTGGTTTTCCTTTTCCAGCGGATGATATGGGATTAGGGAAAACCCTGACAATGATTGCACTCATCCTGACCCAGAAGAATCAAGAGAAGAACAAACAAGAGGACAAAAACACAGCATTGACTTGGCTTTCCAGAGATGGTATACAAATGCCTTCATAACCTCTTATTTCCTGAATTGTGTGAGCTGGCAGAGAGTGGACGTGTTTCAGCTAAGAGAGAATACTTCTGGTCATATGTCATTAATTTATGAGAAGACCAGTGTTAGATAATAAAATTAAAAAATTAAAAATTAAAAACAAACAAACAAAAATTATGCCTGTGGCATCATTTCTGATGCTGAATCTGCTCATTACCAGTGATTGTTTCCCCTTTTGCTATAAACTTAGCCTGACCTGTGGTTAGAAAAAAGTGTATAGAGAAAGCCGAGGCTCTGGAATGGCTCTAATGAAGATTTTTGTTAACATTGAGGACACAGGTACAGGGTTGGGCCAAATTAGTTAATATATAATTTTTTTTTTTTTAATACATAATTTTTTAAGGAAGGTCTGTCACAACCTCCGATTTTAGCCACCATAGCAGAAACTGTTTCCGAGTTTTCTGAAATTCCGTTAAGTTTCCCAATTTAGACAAATTCTGTCTCACCAGCTCTGTTGTTAGGATAAAATAACTGTCCAAGTACTTTAAAGGTCCTACATGGAACGGGTCGGCAACCCCACATCCCACGTGAGTTGCCAGGTACGCAAGGACAGGACTCGGTTGGTAGGCCAGGTGCAGATCTGGCTGTCCGCCCTCCAGGCCTCTCCCGAGCCCGGTGGCAGCTGGGTCCTGTGCCTCTGGGTGCAGTAGTGACATGCTGCGTGCATAGCAAAGAGATGGAGGAGGGGGAGCAGTGGCACAAATACTCCTCCACTAACCGGCTCCCACGTAGTTTTTGCCTGTCTTAGCGGTTTTGTACTTACATTGTAATGTGGATGTAATTAAGTTATGCTTTTCAGAAAAAAGTAATACTACTCCCCTGTAACAAATCAACTCAGGGCGAGGTAGGAAATGATCCCACTTCTACCTTTTGACCACTGTGGAAGCGCATTGGTTTTTTTAGACTGAGGCCCCATACTGCGAACTTTCCCTCTTTAGCCACTCTCTGTCTGACCTTTGTACAGGGGAAAATAAAGAAGTGTTTTGAGTTAAAAGACCACCCCTCTCATTTCCCATTCTATTCTATACTGTGTGTGGAAATAAGAGCGGCAGTTTGTTAAAAAATGTGATTGAAGGAATAAAGGTCAAGAAGAAGGGGAGGTACCTTTAAGGAGTTAAAGACTACTTAATGAGAGCCATGAGGTGTTGATTTTTTTTCCCTTCAAGACTCCTGTGAGTTCACTTCCCATGGAACGCTGATCATCTGTCCTGCCTCCCTGATTCATCACTGGAAAAACGAGGTGATGAAATGTGTGAGCCACAACACGCTAAGAGTCTATCTCTATCATGGGCCCAATCGGGATCAGCGTGCAAAAGCGTAAGTGCAGAAATACGGCAGTTGGTGAGAGCCCTCAGCCTCTTGGCTTGAGTGGCCATATTGGCCTTCCCTGTTCTCCCTGAGCTCTCACGGAGTCAGGACTAATGATAACGTGTGAAGACCGAAGGCACTGTCGTCACCCAGCATCCTTCACCTGTGCTAAGAGATGCGTCTTTGAAGACAATGGTGTTCTTTTGTTGTATCCTTGTCACCATCCTCAACAAGAGCTGCTGTGTGAGGTAGCCTGAGATGCCTGAGCTGACGGCCAGGGAGCCCTGGCACGCGACGGTCTGCCACGGTTATTTCATTCTTGTTGAATTTCTGATTCCGATTTCATGTTCTTTTTCCGTTCGTGTGAATGCAACCAGCCTAGTCTTACAGAGCATCTTGGTAGAATATTAATGATTAGTTGGTATAGACTGGCTCTGCTTTTCATATAGGAAGCATCTAAGAAGTTTTCTTTTTTTTTTTTTTAAGATTTTATTTATTTATTTATTTGACAGAGACACAGCGAGAGAGGGAACATAAGCAGGGGGAGTGGGAGAGGGAGAAGCAGGCCTCCCGCCGAGCAGAGAGCCCGATGCGGGGCTCGATCCCAGGACTCTGGGATCATGACCTGAGCCAAAGGTGGATGCTTAACAAGACTGAGCCACCCAGGTGCCCGTCTAAGAAGTTTTCAATTCAAGAGTTTAGGATTAGACCTAGTTGAATTCCTGAGGGGGAAGGATCAGGAAGGTGGAAGGAAAATGTTTCCCCAGATGGTAATTTTAGTCCTAGTCTTTGCCTTTTGGTTTTAAAGGATTTTTTTGGTTTTTAAGATTTTATTTTTATGTAATCGCTATACCCAACGTAGGGCTCGAACTTCCAACCCCAAGATCGAGGGTCACATGCTGCACCGACCGAGCCAGCCGGGTGCCCCTAAAGGAATTGTTTTTTGTTCCTAATTGTGATGTGATGGTCTGGGTTGAGTACTTGCTGATCTAGTCAAGAAGACAGTTGTTTCTGCTTCTAAATAATCCCCCAACCTGTCATATTAGATATTTCATCTCCTAAAGAACAGAGCAGTAGTCTTTCAGGGGTGAGTTGCAAAATTGGGGGCCCTCAGTCTTACACCCACTCTCACGGGTGAGGGTCGCTTTAGCAGACTGAAGGTATCAGGGCATCAGGGACAGGCCTGCGTGCCTTCTCCAGCAGAGTACTGTCAGTGGCTGGCCTTTGTTCTAGATAGTTTTTTTAAAGATTTTATTTATTTATTTATTTGAGAGAGCGAGAACGAGCGGGGGGAGGGGCAAAAGGAGAGGGGGAGGCAGACTCCCCACTGAGCAGGGAGCCCGACTCGGGGCTCGATCCCAGGCCCCTGAGATCATGACCCGAGCCGAAGGCAGACGCTTGACCGACTGAGCCACCCAGATGCCCCTGTTCTAGATAGTTATTAGAAATAAATTGCACGTTACTTGATTGGCACTTCAGTCATACCTGGTTTGGTATTCAGAATAAACTAGTTGACTGATTGGAATCATTCTTAATCCTTCTTCTCTATATGATGCTAAGTCAACATGTAGACGGTGCTCCCTCTGAATTAGGCATATCATTTTTATCAAAAAAGTATTTCTGGACATTCTCCCAGATGCACAGTATTAAGTTTTGTTGGAAAAAAGATTTGTGCTTTTTGTTAAGAATCTTTACACGTAAAGGAGTATAGGCAAGGTAAACTCAAAGCGTGCAGAGTGTATTTTTTTTACCCAAATGTCAAGGCTGGATTAATGGGTTTTCAGAAATCCGTTAAAAAATGATAAGGCGAGGGGCGCCTGGGTGGCTCAGTTGGTTAAGCGACTGCCTTCGGCTCAGGTCATGATCCTGGAGTCCCGGGATCGAGTCCCGCATCGGGCTCCCTGCTCGGCAGGGAGCCTGCTTCTCCCTCTGACCCTCCCCCCTCTCATGTGCTCTCTCTCTCATTCTCTCTATCTCAAATAAATAAATAAAATCTTTAAAAAAAAAAAATGATAAGGCGAAAGATCAGATCTAGATGAACATGCTTTGAGGGTTTCTTACTTCCCTGGGACTTCAGCGTCAGTCTAGCTCTCAAATCATCACTAAATGTTAACTCCCAGCCCTACCCTACTTCTGTCGTTGCCAGATACTATCCAGCTTTATATGGCTCCAGCCAGAGATTTTTCTCTCTGACTCATGGGATGGGAACAGGGAGGCCGTTTAGCTATAGTAAGCAGACTATAAAAATGATGAGATGTAAGGCAAGTGAGTAAAATTTCCCTCTCCCAAAGCATGTATGTGTGGATTAAGGACACGAATTAATGAATTCTGCCAGCTGTCCCTCCAGCGCAGGCATTTTTATAAAGGGATCACCTCCAGCTCTCCTGTCAGTCATGGAGGGATCGTTTACTGTTTGCCTTGTGTCCTGTCGGTGCAGCCTCTCTACCTATGACGTCGTGATCACTACCTATAACCTTCTGGCCAAGGAGATTCCCACACAGAAAGAAGAGGGGGTGGTCCCCGGTGCAAACCCCGGTGTGGGGAAGGTGAGTCTGCGAGCCACACCTCATAGTCTACCCGAGTCTTTCTACTGCATCACACACAGCAGAGGTGCCTTCCTGTGAGGTCAGGAATGGCCTGAACGTTCCACCTGTGGAAACGGAAGGTTCGTGCCCCTCTTCCTTCCCTTTTATTCTCGCCAGACTTCGTCGGGAATAAAGGATGAGGTTTGGCACAGTATCCCGTTGTTGTGTAGAACGAATGTTAGGGACAGTGCAGTAGTGTGCTCGTCACGTGACCGTGGGAAGCCCCACCTGTTGCAGTGTTTACCTTAGAGTCTTCCGGGTGTACTCTTAGGATATTTTTCATATTTAATGAGAAGCCTAGTACTTGAGTACAAGTATTTTTGTATTTAAGCCTATGATTGCCTGCCTCTCTCCCGCCTCCCAGGGAAAAGAGGTTGCAAACAGTGAGGCCCCAAAGGGGCTCGAGGCTAAACGCTAACCAGGTGAAAACTGGGTGTTTGCTAGGGCGTCCGGGGTCGTCTCAGTTACTCAGTGTAAGGCTTTATTGCCTAGTTACCGTGGGGCGTTTTTCTCCTGAAAATACAGTGCCGTTCCCAGAACGGATCTTCTGCATGTTCTCATTTGTCGTCCGATCTCCATATTTGGGGAAATCTCTAGAATACTTCTCCGGTCAGACCAACCTGACTTCTTGTGGATAATGAACTGTTCAGATTCCGCAGTGGTTCCTCATTGCTTTCAGGATAAAACCGTGGTTCCTTTCCATGAGGTCGAGGCTTTTATGACCTTGCCCTGCTTGCGCGTGTCTCGTCCCCTACGCCCCAGCCCTCCCTGTGGCAGTGCGTGGCAGTACCAGGGGACGTGTACCTGGCCTGCTCTGTCATGCTGCTGTGCCTTTGCATTCTCTCTGAATGGAAGGCTTTGCCTCCGTGCCTTTTCCAGGTTAATTTGTTGTGTTTTCTTTCATCCGCTTCAAGAATCCTTTAATCCTTCGGTTGAATGCTCTCCTAGCACCTTGTGCTTACTCATGTCCTAGCCCTCCACACACTGAGCCAAGACTGAGCACCTACTATGTGCCACCTGCTATTTCAGGTATTAGGGATACAGCAGTGAACCACACTGACTAGGGTCCTCCGGCATATATTGGATTATCCAGTGGGACATAGTATGTAAACATCATGCTGTAATTAATCTTTCTGCTTGTTCTTCTTCTCGCTACGTCGTGAGCTCCTTAAGGCTAGGAGCTGTCCTTTATGTCTGATTTCGTATCTTACGTTATAAAAGTAGACTTGCAGTAAATTTTTAGTGAATTTTTGTCAATTTAGTAAATATTTTATTGAAATGAGCGAATTTCCAGGCTCGACACCTAGTGCAGTCCTGACGCACGGCTATTGCTCACTTTTGAGTTTTAACTTGAAAACTCAAGTTAAAAGATTTTACTCTTAAGTGTCTTTTGTTTTAATTATAATTTTTTTATTTTTTAAGATTTTATTTATTTGACAGAGAGAGAGAGACACAGTGAGAGAGGGAACACAAGCAGGGGGAGTGGGAGAGGGAGAAGCAGGCTTCCCACCGAGCAGGGAGCCCGATGCGGGACTCAATCCCAGGACCCCGGGATCATGACCTGAGCCGAAGGCAGACCCTTAACGACTGTGCCACCCAGGTGCCCCTAAGTGTCTTTTTTTTTTTTTAATTAAAGATTTATTTATTTATTTGAGAGAGAGAGAGAGAGCTTGAGCAGGAGCAGGAGGGGCAGAGGGAGAGAGAGAGAATTTCAAGCAGACTCCGGATGTGGAGCTTGATCTCATAACCCTGAGATCACAACCTGAGCCGAAACCAAGAGTCGGAGGCTTAACCCACTGAGCCACCCAGGCGCCCCTACTCTTAAGCATCTTAAACTCAAAGATTGGGGCTCTCGAGTTGACTTGTTTCTTTCTACCCACTGAGAGTCTCCACTTTTGGTTTCTTCAGCTTCATTCTCATTTCAGCATACCTGATCTAAGCCCTCAAACTAGGCAGAAAGCATGGATTCTCAATACTTGTTCATTATTTCCCCATCTCTTCTTGAAAATGTGTACATTTTCCCATACTATTGATGATGTCGCTTGGGTTTCTTCCAGGATAGTGCAAAAACGCCTTTGCTTCGAATAGTCTGGGCTCGAATCATATTGGATGAAGCTCACTGTGTGAGGAACCCGCGAGTGCAGACTTCCATGGCTGTGTGCAGGCTCCAAGCCCAGGCCCGTTGGGCTGTCACTGGAACCCCCATTCAGAACACCTTGTTGGACATGTATTCACTGCTCAAGTGAGTAGAACTCCTCAGCATTATGTAAATGCGAACCGAGTCAGTTAACCCTTCATCATTATTCCTTATCATGACAGAGCTCCAGAGTGTGCCAGATTATCTCGTGTAGCGGATGGCAAGCTTCTCGACCTTTAAAGGGTAAAAGAATTCATATTTAGGAAAAGATAATCAGTTGATGGACTGGCAGCTACAGGACTGTGATTACATCCAGCCCCTATATATGGAAAAATATAGGATGGATTAAAGTGAAACAAAAATCCTCTTTCTTCAGTCCAGTGAATGTTTTGGGCTTTTTCTATTTTAAAGCGTATGGCCTAGGGTCAGGCCTACAATTTATTTGAAGCAAACAGAAAAGAATGCTGATTTTAAAGCCCTTGCTTTTATTCAAGTAAGCCCATAAGAGGATATGGAATTTCTTTGCCGGCCTTTGAAGCTTTAGGAATAAATTCCAGCTATTGGTTATATGTCCTGTTGCGACGATACTGATATTGTTAATGGAAAAATTCACATTTTGTAATGTGGTTTTGTTATCAACTTAGATTCTTTTGATGTGTCTCACAGAGCTTTGCTATGAAATTCATTGTTAAAAAATGAATGATGGATGTAACAGAAAAATTGGATTTGTTTCTCATCTCCTGTGTTTCCTTGGACCCTTATTTACTCCTTGAACCATTCTCCAATTCTTCTTTCCTACTTTCTGTCTTCTTCCTCAACAAAAAAAGATTTCTCCGTTGTTCTCCATTCGATGATTTCCGACTGTGGAAGAGCCAGGTTGACAATGGTTCAAAGAAAGGAGGAGAACGGTTAAGTATTTTAACCAAGAGCCTTTTGCTGAGGAGAACAAAAGACCAACTGGACTCCACAGGCCAGCCCTTGGTAATCTCGTTTATACTTGTCCCTGGGGGAGGCCAGGGAAGGAGGCTGACATGTCCTCAGTTTGGTTTGAATAGGCATCTGCTTTGCTCAGGAGCCTCTGAGTGTCCCATCTCCATGTGAGCGGGCCCTAGGTGGCCATGTGTCACAGCCATCTGTTTTGAGGGCCGGTGGGAGAGCTGTCCAGGGCTTGACTAGGTTTCCAGTGTCCGCTGTGGGGAATGTACTCTGTAACGCCCAGGTCATTTGTCTGACTTCACCAGCTGATTTCTTCTACTCCTCCAGGTGATGCTGCCCCAGCGTAAATTTCAAGTGCACCATTTAAAGCTTTCTGAAGATGAAGAGAATGTTTACAGTGTCCTTTTGGCAAGATCAAGGTGTGTGCAGTGAGGAAGCACCTCACATTTATTGTGTGATTCCTGTCCTTGCTTGGGAGGGAGTTAAGGGTCAGGTTTCCTCAGACTACATTTATAGTGTTATTGATGACTTGGATGTCCACGTTCCTTTTTCTGTTTGTTTGTTTTGGTTTTTAAATGCCCCTTTCTCTCTCCTCACCCGCTCCGTGGCGTATCTCTGTCTTGTATACACACTGAACCTGTGCTTCATTGGCTTCCTGGCGTAGAAGCCAAACAGCGTGGTCGCTGTACACCAGGTGTGTCTAGTCCTGTGGGGCCATATTGGGAAAGAACATCTCTTTGACCTTTGACTTGCTACTCAGCATCTCATTGGAACTTAAAACAACAAACTGCTCTATAATCCTTCTTGTCACATGTTCTTTGTACTTTCTCTAAACCTCTTGTCCTTCCTGAAATTCCAGATTTACCCTCTCCCACTTGGTACTTCTCACTTCCAATGTGAATATGTTTTTTTTTCTCTTTGTAAACCTAATGTAATATTATCGTATTTATTGATAAATATAAACCAATATTAACATTACAATAATGTGTTATAAATTAATAGTAAGTTGTCATCAAACATGGTATTTATACTATTAATACGTTTATTGACGATTAAAAAATGATTTGGCTTTTAGAATAATTAATTTTCATTACCTTTGGCCAGTGCTTGCCATGAGCCTGACTTTATTTAATAAGTCTTAGTCAAGATCCTACTGCAAGCACAGTGAAGCAGTGACCCCTGGTAAACCTCTTTGGTCTTGGCAAACATTACATGTGCATTTTCTCTTTTGATCTGAGGCAGGTCAGCTCTGCGATCCTATCTAAAAGGGCGTGAAGGTGGGGGCAGCCAATCTGGAAGAAGCCCTGATAATCCATTCAGTAAAGGTAAGTGGTGGACACTCATAGGTACATACAAGTAATGAAGATGTGGATTTAGATCCGGTAAAATTACAGCTACAGGACATTATGAATGCTTGGTATCAGAGACTTGACCTTAGCTAGGAACCTCAGACCAAACTAAAATAAGCTGATCTGCCATCGCCAGACCTGGTGATCTAAACTTCTTGTAAGTTACTCCTGAAATCCGCGTTATTAAAATGCAGCTAGGCCCGGAAAGAAAACCAGTATTTCCTTTGGCTTCCTTGATAGAGAGGTCAGTTAGAGCTATATTATTGAATCGCAGATCAGAGAAGTTCAAAACGGCCTCTTTTCAGTTTGTGATTCTTCCCCATATTTCTGTTGTAAACCCTGTCCTGTTTCCTGTGGTTTGTGTTCCTTCGTGGAAGTGGCCCAGGAGTTTGCTGGGCCCCGGATGGTGGCAGACTCGCAGAGATCCAGCACTCCCCACGTACTGTTGACCCAGTTGCTGAGACTTCGCCAGTGTTGCTGTCACCTGTCTCTCCTGAAATCGGTAAGAAGAGCCCTTCGTGTGCTCCCCCACAGTGGCTGCCAGAGAGGTCCATTTCAGTCCTCTGTAACTGGGGTCCCGCCTGCCCGGTCAAGGGGAATGGCGTTTTGGGGTGTTCCTGTGTTCTGGTTGGGGCAGAGAAGAGGAATCGTCTTTATTTTACTTTATATTAGTTTTTATTGATCTTGAGATAATTCCCATAGGGTTGAGAACAGCTTTTACTGTTTTTGTTTTTGTAAATAAACTTTATTTTAGAATGGAAAATGTCGTTTTGTTAAACCGTTCATGAATACTTTGGTATTTTAGGATGTCATAAAGCCAATTTAGCTACTAGTTTTTTCTGCCTTCAGGCGGTATTGGGGCTCTTAAGGCTAGTCATGAAAACTCAGTTGGAACTTATGCAATTGGAAAAGTTGCCTTTGCGTTGGATAGAGGCACATCCATAATTAAGATGAGTCTGTTACTCTTTTTGAGGAGCTGTGGTAATGTGTTTTGATTATCAATAGCTTAATTAACTATACTGCTTTAGCTGGGGAAAACAGAATGATCATGTAATCTGTCTGGCAAATCTCTCAGAAGTTCCATCATTTGATTTATCTTTCATCCGGTGAAAAACTTGCAAGATTACATTTTAATCAGTTTCTCTGAGGAGATACCGATGATGAATTACAAGACATTTTGCTGTGTGAAATGTTAAACAATCCGCACTTCATTGGCAAATAACGTGGCTTGCTGCCTCAACTGCCCACCTGCCCCCCTACCCCCCTACCCGCTTCCTGTATTCTCTTCAGGCCCTGGACCCGGCAGAACTGAAAAGCGAGGGCCTCGCCCTTTCTCTGGAAGAGCAGCTCAGTGTTATGACGTTGTCTGAACTCTGTGACACGGAGCCGTCTCCCCTCATTTCCCTTAATGGCGAACAGTTCAAGGCAGAGCTTTTTGAGAACACAAGAGCGAGCAGCAAGGTACTTTTGTCACCTGTGTTCTGGTAGAAAAACTTGGATGTCCTCACACATTTTGCATGTGTGAGAGTGACACGTTTGTCCAAGCGTGTACAGCCGATGCATGGCAGGGCTAGAACTATGAGATTTGAGCTGGTGCAATTCCCCCTTCCAGCCTTAACTTCTCATGTTATTTCACGAATAAAACGAGTCTTATTACATAGTGGGCTTTCAGAGAGTGATTTGGGCCAGCCCCGGCAGCAGGGTAGATTTTCTGTCATGGATCACTGGGAAAGTTGCTTATCAGGTTTACACCAGCGACAGGGCCTCAGTGAGTGAGGACTTTGTTGCAGGAAAGCTTTAAAGGAAAATAGCAAAGGCTTGACCCCAGAGACTGTAATACATCTGAGTGCCAATTGCTTGGACTTGTTGAAAGGCATCCATCTGTGAGTATTATTTCCTAAATTGCCTTCTATCTTCGTTAGTCATTTTGTTCTATTTTCATTAAAGCTTTTCAAGGCTGAAGCGTTGTAGTAGAGGAAGGCTGAGGTGTGCTGTAACTTGAGTCCTGCCTTTCTGTTGGCTGGTTTGGAGTATACGCCATTAGTCTGCGTACCCTGAGAGTGGGGCCAGGCTCTCTCTCAGCTGCTGTCTGAAGCTGCCATTCCCAGCCTCAACCTCTCTTCAAAGGCGCTTTTTTTTTTTTTAATGTAACTAGAAATGAGGTCACTGCCAAGGGAATGGTGTTACTTAAGAATTACTTTTAATTAAATTTTCAAAATATTACCGAGGTCTTTACCACTAGTAACGGAGAGAAACCTAGGAAGAACACCATATGTGGACAAACCTCATGTCGTCGTAGCACCTTTAGAGTTAGCTACTCTGTTAAAACTTAGAGTCCTCATAATTTGTGTGCCTCATCTAATACTTGGGTGGTATTTATTCACAGGGCTTTTTAATGCAAGCCTGTTAATAGTGGTTCAAACCATTTAAGGTTGTTTCACGCAGGGAAGGGAGTTTTGGCAGCCCACACCTAAACTCATGCAGAATGTTCCTGGAATTTGACCCCAGCTCATGGACCGTGAGTCTGGCTCTTTCACTAAAAGTTTTCTCAAAATCCCCATGGCCAGCTTTTTCATGTGGCGGTCCGAGCACTTACCACATCCCACGTCGCCAAGACACCAGGTGCTTCATGTACCTGCTTTCTTTCTCCCTGTGAATTCAGAATGGTCCAGAATGGTCCGTCCTCACTTCCTGTCCAGCACATTTGTTGAGAAGGCAGCCTCACGGGTGGTGGGGGCCTCTGGAGGTGAGCACTCGAACAGGGCAATGCGGGACGTAAGCGCGGAGGGCACCTCAGAGTTCATCTGGGGCAGCCCCCTGTTTCAGCGATGAGGCGTCCGCACTCTTCACCACGAGTTCCGAAGGGGTACAACAGAAGAGCTCTCTTGATCTCCTGATTCCTGGTCCTTTTCTTCCTCCTCCACCATCCTGGGGATGAACTCCAGGGCCCGTAGAGGCTTTCAAAAGGTCATTTGCATTAGCAGTTGGGAGGGATGAATCCAGCTGCTCTCCCAGCTCATGCTCATGTGTTCTTACCAACCGCTCCCTGGGGACTCAAATGTGCTCTGAGGGGGTTTGATAAATGCCCAGAGAGCTTTTGGGGGAAGCCTTAGCAAGTGTCGCTCAACTGGGCGGGCCCTCTTCTTCAACAGCCTTTGGAGCAGCCCTAAACTGAGTAGAGCTCTTTCACTTTCTCTGTCTGCAAATGTTAGGATAGTACCTTCTCTGGTCTGCCTACGTGCTGGATGCTAGGGGCACGAACCAGAAACGAAGCAGTCATATGCTGGCTCTGCTTCCTTGGAGCCCCTCAAGTCATGATAGCAAGAGATGACTGACACACAGTGGGTAGTGTGAAAAAGGCCACAATAATAGGAACAAAAGGAGCCCGAGTAGCAGGTAGGCAGTGGGCACCTAACCCATACTTTGGGGTTAGTGAAGACCTCCAAGAGTGACGTCGATCTGACATGGAAGGGTGTTCTAGGCAGAGGGGACAGAGTGGATGAAGATGAGACAAAGCATGGCTTAGCGGAGGAGGAACTTTGGTATGACTGGAGCATCATTTGAGGAGAGGTAGTGAGCTAGGAGGCTGGAGACATCAGCTGAGGCCAGAGCAGCATGGAGCTGGTAGGTCATTGTCAGGAGCTTGGGCTCGATCCTCAGAGGGAAAGCCCTCCAGCCAGGGGAGGGAAATGACAGACTGGCATTTTTAGAAGTAGCCCTGGGGCTGCAGAGAGGAGAGTGGCCTAGAGTGGGGTCAGACCAGAGGCAGAGAGGCCACTTCAGGAGTGCAGGTGAGGGATGATGGAGAAAAGCAAATTTGCACCCACTTAACATATACTAAATAACATTTCCCAGATTTCATCTCTGTTGGTGGAATTGGAGGCAATCCGAGGAAATTCAGCATCCCAAAAGAGGTAAATGTGTTATTTTGTTATCCAAGTATTGTTTGTGATGATTCAAGAAACTTTGATATTGCTGATAGTTCCAATCTCGGCTTTTTAGAAATCCAGGACCTTGAATCCTCCTCAGCAGAAAGCACTGAGGGTACAGTGCACATTCTCTCTGATTTCTAGTTAATGTATTTGTGGCATTGATTGAGAAGGAAGTCCCTAGAGGGTCAGAGTGAGCTAAGCATCTGGAAAAGTGTTTAAAAGTAGAGAAGCAGCTAAAGAAAAGCAAGGGAGTGACAGGTGCAAAAGGCAGGGCGAGGTGTGGTATCGGAAAGGGAGCCCTGTGGTGCTGGGAATGTTCTTGAGCTGGGTGCATGGATCCATTCATTATTTGTTATCCTTACATGTGTGTTATGGATCTGCGTTTGTAGATGTGGAATGTTTTGATTCTAAAAACTTGACAACCCTAATTAAAACATAGCATGGGGTGTGGGGGTAGAGACGTCCCAGCAGCTTGTTGTGGCTGCCAAAGGGAGGGCGGCCCACATACCCCTTTCCTGCAGGACCACAGATCTCCAAATAATAGGAGGCTGTGGTCCTTATTTTAGGCCGGCCACCACTTTATTGTGACCTCATTTAGCATGAGACGGATTACACCCTGGATACGAAAAACAACTGGAAGCATCCTCACCTTAAAATGTGACCTAAGCGTGTGCCTTTGCCCCGCAGGGGACAGAAGGCCTTTCCTGGTCCGCATCATCTGTTCCGGGGGTTGACGTTTTGTGTTCTCCTTCCTTCCAGTGTCGTGGTCTCCCAGTGGACCAGCATGCTGCAGGTTGTAGCGGGCCACCTCAGGAAGCATGGCCTGACTTACGCCACCATCGATGGCTCTGTCAGCCCCAAACAGAGAATGGACTTGGTGGAGGCCTTTAACAGCTCCAGGGGCCCCCAGGTACGAGCCGGGCATACCAGAGCTCTGTCATCTGTCATTGAGATCACCTTGTTCTCAGTTACACAGCGAGAACGGCCGTGTAGCAGCTCAGTCTAAACACATTCATTGCCTTGATCCCTCCACGTGCTTTTAATTTATTAGACATTTATTGGGGAGCGTATTGAAGAGTGCAGCTACTTTAAAGAGAAGGCAATACGAGGGCTAAAAGCAGAGGAAGAGCAGAGCTGGTTGGCTCAAGTGATCTTTGTGGAGGGAGGCAAGCCTTGAAGGGTAGGTGGGAGTTTGATACGAGGCAGTGTGGGGAGACTTGGAGGGACAACAAGAAGGTGGAAAGCACTGGTGGCCTGGGGGAGGGGGGCGGGGGCCAGGAAGAGCAGCAACGGCAGGGGGTGGGGGTGCAGAGACCGAGGGAGTGGACAGACTCTGGTTAATGGAAAGGTCATTGAGCCAGGCACTCCGCCCCCCCCACACCCCAGTGCTCTAAATTGTAGCGTTTGTGTATTTTAGCAGGCAGACAATTCGTGTTTTCAGGTTGAGTCACAGAAAAATAGGAAGTGAGAGTTTTCTTAAAGGTGAGGCACGGGAGATTGCATCTCAGAGTTTTTTTTGACAGCAGAGGGAACTTTGGTGGGATCATGGTACTTATCTGTATTGATCTTGGGCTTGAACCTGAGACAGAGGGAGAGATGTATTATGAGATCAGATCTGTATAAAGGGAATGCCGTGCTTTCTTTTGAAGGTTATGCTAATCTCTCTCTCGGCTGGAGGTGTGGGTCTAAACCTGACTGGAGGAAACCACCTTTTTCTTCTGGATATGCACTGGTAATGACTCTGGATTTTTCTTGCATTGTCCTAGCATAGGAGGGAGGGGGCGGGGGGTGGGGGTCAGGAGGGGGCGCCAGAGGGGTGATGGGGCCTGACTTGTTATGGTGAGGATGCTGTTTTTGTATTATGCGGATGCCTCTCCTGCATACATATTTACAGGTCCTGGTGTATATAGGGTGTGGGGCTGTTGATGGCCTTGAATTCCTAAGCAAGCAAGGCTTCGAATGACTGCTTAAAATAGCATTCACCTTATTGTTAATCTTACATCTGTTTCCATGGAAACTGGGAAGAAGGCTTTTTCTTGTGGCTAAGAGCTACATCGCTCAGTTTTACCTCTTCAAAATACCATATTTCACGCCATTTGTGGACGTCCAAGGAAATCTCAACCCCGGAAAAGACGGAGAAGCTTTATTCCAAAAGGAAAAGGAGAAGGAATTTTCTAGTTATGTTAGGAATACACTTAACACAAGGCCCTTGGCCACGCATGTAGTATCAACATTGGGAGCCTAACCGCAAATTTCCTGGAAATAAGATAAATGAGTTTGTGTGTTGGTAGGAGAAAAATGTCATAATTAGTCTCCGTTTGGGGTTTTCCAATTATGCCAAGCAGAATTGCTGCACATTTGTCTGATTCTCCAGGCGGCCCAGACTGACACACACACGGGCCAACCTGGTGTCATCTTCCGGGAGAACGTGTTTAGGTCTTAGGGCTCCCTGATACGTTTGAGGGAGGAAAGCAGAGTGCGAGTTAAATGCTGATTTCTGGGGGTGCCTGGCTGGCTCAGTCAGTAGAGCGTGCAACTCTTGCTCTCAGGATTGTGAGTTCAAGCCCCCTGTTGGGTGTGGAGATTACGTTAAAATCTTAAAAAAATAAATGCTGTTTTCTGAAATGGAGATAAACATATTTTAGATATGTTTGGATTGGATTTAAACATATCCAAGATTTTAAGGAGGTAAGATGAGGAACCAGTTTGGAGTTGATAGCCTCTATAAAGAAGGAGAGAAATTAAGTTTCTTCAGTTGAATCCCAGAATATTAAAGTTGAAAAAGGTGTTCTGGGACGCCTGGGTGGCTCAGTCGGTTAAGTGTCTGCCTTCGGCTCAGGTCATGGTCCCGGGGTCCTGGGATCGGGTCCCATGTTGGGCTCCCTGCTCAGTGGGGAGTCTGTTTCTCCCTCTCCCTCTGCACCCCCCAGCTTGTTCTCTCTCTCTCTCTCTCTCTCTCTCTCTCACTCTCTCAAATAAAGAAAGAAATCTTTACCAAAAAAAAGAAAGAAGGAGAAAGGTGTTCCCTATCATTAGGCAGCCCTCACATTTCCAAGTAGGAATCTAAAGTACAGAGGATTGAGGTGAGGTGACTTGCCTGAGTTCATCCAACTAATTAGTGACCAAACTGGAGCACTGGTTCACCTGTGTTACTTAAAAGTTGTCAGCTGATGGTGGTGCTGAGTTTCTCAGTCAAGGGCAAGAGGGTATCTGACACTAACCTTTCTGGGGCCAACATAGCCAAGGACAGGGATTTGCAAACTCTCTCTCTAAATATTTTCGGCCAGATGGTAACTGTTTAGACCTTACAGGCCACATAGGTCCCTGTCCCGTATTCTTCACTGTGGGTTTTTTATTTGGATTTTTTTCAACCCTTTAAAACCATGACCACCATGTTTGTAGCTGCAGAGCCATCCAGAAACAGCTGCAGGTTTTAAGAGACATTTAGAAAGTAAAATGAATGGACTTGGTATGTGAAAAGGGAGTAAAGGGGAGTAAAGGCTCTGCCCAGGGGACTTGCCCACCCAGTCCGGGGTGTCCGCACCTTTGAGCCTTGCCTCTTTGCTCACAGGAATCCATCACTTGAAGACCAGGCCTGTGACCGAATTTACCGAGTTGGGCAGCAGAAAGATGTTGTCGTGCACAAGTAAGTAAAGGCATTCCGGGACTTAGGCCCCTTCACAAGCTTTCCTTTTGTGCAAGTCTTTCTTGGGTGGTGTTTTAACAGTACGTGAAGTATTTGGTGGTCCCTTGACTAGTGGATGCTCCCGAGGCCCGCCTCGTTGGTGCTCACAGTCCAGAAGGGAACACAAGCAATTTGGGGGTGACCTTGGGGTTAGTGCCTGCGAGAGAAGAAAAGGCTTGTGTATTAGGGCTAGGGAAAGTACCCTCCTCCCCCCGCTTTATTTGTTAATTTTTTGCTTTTAACTTTTAGGTTGACGTAATTTCAGACATGTAGAAAAGAATGTAAGAGTTCTCAGAAGAAGAATGTTCCCCCAAAAATCTTATTTGTAAAAATAATACCAAAAACTGCTCGTATGCTATACCATGTATACCGTGTAGACTTTTTTTTCTGGACCATTTGAGAGTCAGTTGCAGCCGTGGTGCTCCTTTACCCTTAAATACTTCAAGGTGCATTTCCGTAAAATAAGGACATTCTCTTATATAACCACAGTAAAATGCTCAAAATCAGAACGTTAACACGATACAATGCTGTTATCTGAGCTCTGGGCTTTGTTCCATTTTGCCTCTTGTCCCATTGAGGTCCCTCACAGCAAAGGAAAATCCTAGAGCCTGTGTAGTCTTGAGTTGTCATGACTCTTCTGTCTCCTTTAATTTGGCACACTACCTCAGTCTTTCTTTGTGTTTTATGACATTGACATTTTTGAAGAGCACAAGCCAGCGATTTTGTAGAATGTCCCTTTCTAAAATGTGACAGTCCACTCTAGCAACGGACCTCTTTTTCTCCTTCCTTTTCAGGGCCAGGTTTCCTGAAGAATTAGAAATCACTGACTGTCTTGACTTGATTACCTCTCATATTCATTCCTTAGCCTTTCACCCCTGTGGCTCCACTGAAACCACTCTTGTTTCGGGCCATCCGTGAATTCCAGTTGGCCAGTTGCAGAGATCATGCTGGTTTCCCTGTCATGAGCTCTCACCTCACCCTGTATGCGCCTCCCTTAGTAGTCCTGTCTACTCCAGGAAGTCCAAAGAACCTTCCTCCCCAAGGTCTCCAGCATCAGATCTAGATACCCAAATCCCTGCTGACTCTCTGACTCCGAGTGTGCACATAACCATTAGTCACTCGTGCATTCGTCTCATTCAGCTCCTAAATCTTAACACCTGTTGAGCATTCACTGTGGAGCAAGTACTATGACATGTTCCAGGAACTCAGAATGTCACATACTGAAGTGATATACCGCCTCCTATCTCAGGAGACTTAGTATCCCTGTATCCAATCCTAGAGCCACAGACTAGGTTCCTCCCCTTTCCTCCCTTTTCACATATCAAGTGCATTCATTTTATTTTCTAAATGTCTCTTAAAACCATCTCCTCCTTCCCATCCACACTGCCACCTTCCTCTTCCAAATCTGAATTTCTTAGCATGATAGGCAAAGCCACTCACAGTCTGGCCCCCACCATCCTCTGGAGCTTCTGCCATTGCTCTGCAACATGGTGGAGTCCTTTTGACTTAGGTTCTGGCCAGACTGGACCACCTGATCTTCCTCCGACATAACCGTGTTCTAAACCCGGCCATGATTTTTCCACATTCCCGTTCCCTGGGACGCCCTCCCTCTGTTCCGTCAGGCAAACCCTTGCTCATCCCACAAGCCACACATTACGAGTTCAGCCTTCAGTAGAGCCTTCCCCGAACACCGCAGATGTTTCCTTTTACTCTTTGTGCACATTGGACATATGTCTGTAGCACTTTTCCAGCTTGTATGGTTGCTTATTTTCATGCCTCTCTTCCTGTGTTCCCTTTGAGAGCCCAAGACTGGACTGTATGCATCTCTCCATCCTTAGACCCAGGACAGCACATGGCATATTGTAAATGCTTAGTCAGTGCTTGCTGAATGAGGCAGTGACAACAGTGTCATTTCTTCAGGTGGTAGAACCTGTTTTCACTGTGAATGAGCCAAGAAGTAAGACACTGTACTTAGACCAGCACATGGACACCTGGCAGGAACTTGATAAACTTTAAGGCCTTCTGACTTGATCAGCGTTGAGCTTTTTGAGTGAAAGCTGGATCTCTGCACTTTTTTGGATAGGGATATCGTTTGCCTATTTTGGCATGTTTCCAATTACCTTAGTTTCAGAAAGAAATGAAAAATAATTGGAGTTGTGTCATTTTAAACGGGCACATATTTAGTCAAGGTTGTTTGGATCTCGTAAACGTGGGAGTTTTTAACCAAACCTAAGACGACTTAAGTAGAGGAAGAAATCTCATGTAAAAACTAAAGCATAAATAGAAGTTTGAATATGTTATTAAATATGCTGTTTTGGGTTTCTGATTATTTGCTTAATCTGGTTTTTTTTTTTTTTTTTAGATTTATTTGTGAGGGGACAGTGGAAGAGAAGATCTTACACCTCCAAGAGAAGAAGAAAACTTTGGCCAAACAGGTCCTATCAGGATCTGGCAAAACCGTCAAGAAGCTGACTTTGGCTGACCTCAAAGTCCTTTTTGGCATCTAACTTCCTGTTTCTAGGGCTCAGGGTGGTGCCACTGAGGGTGTGCAGTAGGGTCTGGAACAGTGACCTGCACGTGGCCCTCTGAGCCCTCCTCGGCTTCTCATTTCACTGGCAAGCCCTAAGCCCTCCGCGGAAGGTGGCGCCATCTTATCCCCGGAATTGGGCGCCAGTGATCATGTTAACCACTTGATTCATCGGTCAGGTCAATCAGTCGACTTATTGAAGGGTGACTTAGAAACCAAGGAATGACTTCAGAAAAAAAGAACACGCCTTAGAGTTAGATAATTTTGGAAAACGACACCGGGGGAGCTTCAGTGAAAGCTCAGAAAGCCCTCCATTGCCTTGTTCTTCTCAGCTCATGGGGGACCAGTGTTCCTGCCCTTTCCAACGCCGGCTCTCCCTCTCTCCTGCCAGTGAGGCTGCTCCTTTTAACGTGTCTCCGGGCAGGGCAGAGAGAGGACCCCGAGGCCAAGCCTCTGCAGCTGTCTCCAGCCACACCGTTCTGCCGCACCGGCGTCAGAGCAAGGAGCTCCTTGGTCCCAGAACAGACGTCTGGTATGGGTGCCCTCGTGCCATCCGGTATTGGGTATCGTTTCACTTCGTGGGGTTCCGTCGCTTCCCGTTGCTAGAGCGTCATGTGCTGCTTGTGAAATAAAGTTTACTACCGGGCATTTTTTCAGTAGAGGCAGACCTCCCTTCATTGCGCCTTGCAGATACTGCATTTCTTGCGACAGCATTTGCTCACTTCGTGGCCGTGTCCCATTTTGGCAATTTTCGCAGTGTTTGCAGCATTGTTCTATTTGAATTGCTGCGATCTTATGGTAACAGTTGAACAGATGAGGAGCTGAGGCATGAGCTGAGACTGTGGATTCTTGCGATGGACGCTACCCCTGGTGAAGACACTGTGAAGATCGTTGAAATGACGACAGAGGATTTAGAATACCACATAAACTTCGTTGATACAGCAGCGGCAGGATTTGAGATGATTGACTGTAATTTTGAAAGAAGCTCCGTAGTGTGTATTCCATGCTACGGAGAAATCATTCATGAAAGGAAGAGTCCATCGATGTGGCAAACTTCACTGTCATCTTAGTGTAAGAAATTACCGCAGCCAACACCCTGACCAGTCAGCAGCCATCGACATTGAAGCAAGACCCTCCACCGACTCGCTGAAAGCTCAGATGGTGGTTAGCAATTTTAGCAATGAAAGATTTTTTTTTCAAAAAATGTGTTTATTTGTTTAGAGAGAGAACACGCATGAACAGGGTGAGGGGCAGAGGGAGAGGGAGAGACTTTTAAGCAGACTCCACACTGAGCGTGGAGCCCAGTGCGGGGCTTGATCCCACAACCCTGTGATCACGACCCAAGCCAAAACCAAGAGTCGGACGCCCAACTGACTGAGCCACCCAGGTGCCCCAGCAATAAAAGATTTTTTAATTGGGCGCCTGGGTGGCTCAGTTGGTTAAGCGACTGCCTTCGGCTCAGGTCATGATCCTGGAGTCCTGGGATCGAGTCCCGCATCGGGCTCCCTGCTCGGCAGGGAGTCTGCTTCTCCCTCTCACCTTCCTCCCTCTCATGCTCTCTGTCTCTCATTCTCTCTCTCTCAAATAAATAAATAAAATCTTTAAAAAAAAAAAAAGATTTTTTAATTAAGATATAATACTGTTTTTTAGACATACTGCTGTTGCACACTTAATAGACAACAGTATAATGTAAATAGGATTTTTATATGCACTGGGAGATCAAGAGATTCATTTGACTCGCTTTACTGTGATAGTCGCTGTATCGTGGTCTGGAACTGAACCTGCAATATCCAAGGTATGCCTGTATTTGCATTTTTACAAATTTACAGTATTGGTAGCATGTTTCATTCTCTCATTTAGTATTGTATCATTTAGTATCTGTATTATGGTTGGTATAATCCAATAAATGTGTGCTTGACAATGTAGCAGAGATAATGTGTTTGCGAGCCTCCATTTCCTTTTCTTCCCGGGCACCCAGAAAGACTGCATTTCCCAGTGTTCACTGCAGTTACATGGGTCCATATCACTGAGTTCTAGTCAATGGAATGAGGAGAGAGGTGATGTAAGTAATTTCTTAACCTCCTCTCCAACTTTATGAGTGATTCATCACACTGTTTCTTCCCTCATTGGCCCACTAGATGCCAAGGAGCTGATGGAAGCCTACGAGGCCCTAGAGAAGCCACTAGATCAGGGATTCTTAACCTACTTTTGGGCCACGGACGCTTTAGGCAAACTAGTAAGCCTCAGTTCCCGAATGACTGGAACAAAGCCTTCTGCAGGTGTGCCTCCCTTCTCACCCCTGCTCACCCACATGGCTGTATCACATGAATAATATTTTTTTAAGCCACTGAGTTTGGGGTTGTTCAGATAGCAGTTGGTGCTCTAATACAAACTCTTGAGACTGTTACTTCGGGAAACTGTTCCTATTTCCTTCTTCCCATTAGCAATCATTTCCAAAACACATCAGCTCATTTCTGTGGGAAAGGATGGTAGTTCTCCTAGATGGAACTCTTAGGGGTGTCCTTGAGTCAGGGGTAGGAGGTGAAGCCCTTTGATAGCGCACTGACATGTAATCTACTCTTAGGATTCCTTCTGGCACCTTAAACAGTGTATCTCGTGTTCCTTGTTTTGATTCTCACCCAGCAGAGCCACTTAATTATGTCTTGGGTAAGTGTTCCAACACCAGTGAGATGCGAGTGAGGTGTGGTGGATGCAGAGAAAGTTGGAACCATTGTTTCAGTGGGACGGGACGTACCAAACCACGGCATTCTTAAATCCTAGTCCTGGCGCGGAAATTTCTCATGACTTTACTGTAAGTGGCGCTCTGGTGTCTCTCAGGCTCGCATTCATTAGTTACTGGGAGTCCATTTCTGAAGGCCGGGGCAGGACATGGTGAGTGCTTGGCCCCGCGAGCAACGCGCAGCATCCCACATGAGTGCTCGAACTCTGCCAGTGCCAACCAGCCCTCCCGATGTGCCGGATTGTCGTACGGCTGCCTGCCTCCCTGACCAGACTCGGGCGAGGACGAGAGGATGTCATCGGGGCTTTATAAGCCGTGAAGGGCCGTACAAGTGCTAGTGTTACTGCTGTGGGACCGGGTCTGGGCAGAGGGAGTAAGACAGCAGCGTGGGTGCCGCTGAAAGCCAGCCAGCGAGCATCTGTCTCCGAAGCGCAACACCGTGGAGCGCCCCGCGTACCAGGGATTTCTCATGTGACGGATTTGCCTTCGCGGCAGCTTTACCGTTTGACTTCTCTTTCGCAGTGTTGATCAGAAAAGGGCATTTGGTGCACGCCATGGCTGGACGGAATCCTGAACCCTTTAAAAATCCCGCCAAGGACTCCTGTTGCCATGCAATCATTATGCACAGTAGCAGGTGGGATGACATCTCTGGAATATGACCCTTTCTCTAGCAGCTGTGTGTGTGACTTAGAACGGCTGTGTATGACCACTGGCTTGTTTACTCGCTGGTTGTCTCTGTTGCCCAAGGAAGTGGCTTCCAGCAGGGCTCAAAGGTGAAGCCGGACCCTTCCGCACTAGTAGGATAGTCGTGGAGCCGCCAGTGCTCGGTGTGACCTCTGCGGTCGTCTGGAATCTTGATGCTGACCGTGATGCCTTGAGAGAACTGGGTTTACAAAGTGGGATATTACACTGCTATTTGCTGTCTAGCATCTTGTCCTAAGAAAGGGCAGAAAGGATCTAAAGAGCGTAGCTGCCAGCACAAAGAATTATAATAGGAACTTAGAATTCCTAAGCCTGTAACCCAGAAGAAAATGTTTTCAGAAATAAAAATGAAATTGGGGCCAGTTAGAGCACTAAGCACCCTAAGAGTCAGTAGGTGCGGATGGAGATGGAAGTGAGGAAGAGCCTCACCCCTAGGGAGGAAACCAGGCAGACAGACCCACGGCTACACGACCTCTCTCCAGGCTTGAGTCCTTTTACCCAGAATCCTTAGCTAATCTGAGGGTAGGTAGAGCTGATGTATGCAAGGTAGGATGGCGAGAATACATCCACTGCTAAAACATTTGTACATCAGTTCAAAAATCTATATTAAATGTGCCGGGCACTGCTGGGTAAAAGCAAAACCCGAAAGCATCCCTGTCCTCCCTGAGGCTTACAGTCTCCTAGGGAGATGGGCATTAATCCCATCCTGGATGGCTGTGGAGGGACAGTGGTGTCAGGTGCTGTGGTCGCTGGGAGGGCTTAGAACAAGGAGCTAAAGTGAAGTCCGTACATAGATGCTAACAAGGCAGAGTGAAATGCCTCTTCCTATATCCCGCTTCCATTAGCGGTCACTTCACCCAGCCCCCTCTGGGACAAACAGCAGGCCTGCATCCCCGGGAGTGAAGCTGACTGAGGACTGCATCTCAGAGATTAGAGTGGGCGGGGCTGACCGGTGTGTGTGTTTGTCATCCAAGACAGCCAAGGTGTTTATCCTGTGACGACCTCCCAGAGGACAGAGGCAGTAATTTGTGGCCCTTTTGCCTTACCTGTAACATGGGAGATAAAACTTACATCATAATGCTGCACCTTGTTGATGCTTCAGTGCTCACGACTCCAGGGTGATTTCTGAAGCATTTTGCGACACCGGGGACAAGTCCTAAACCCTCAGATCTCTTTTTTTTCCTCTCACCTCGGGAGTCTGGGGCTCTGCAGATCACTCTTAACTTTGCAGGGCCTGTCAGCTGGCAGGACAGTCGCACTGAATGTAGACTCCGTCGTATGGCAGGCCAATGAACAGCCTACCCCTCCTCCCACACCAACTATCTCAATGTCTATAACAGCATGGCTACTGTGAGTACTGCTTCAAGGCTAGGACATGCGCCAGAACCTGGATGTCTGACGGAACGTCTCTGTTGCAGTCGAGCTTCATCTGCAGTAGAGTTCTGCAATTACCAAAACCCTTTTCCAACTGAAATAAATGAAAAGCTTTTAATCCTCAGTTCTGAAGTCTGATTCGTTAAAAGACACACGGGGATAAATGATGTAATACAATAAACTTCTTCACGGCAAAGCAATTCCCTGGATGTCTGAGGTAATTGGAAAATTCAAGGCTGGTCCCTAAAGTGCGTACAATTTATCCAGCAGGTTTGACAGAAGGCTGAGATTTTTTTTTTTTTTTTCCAAGTGGTATTTGGTTAAATGACAACTATTGGCGTTTGGGGGAAGGAAAGTCTGGCTTATAGAAACAGATACCAAGGAGATCCAAACTAAAACTTGTACCAGATTATATCTTTTTTTTATTCAACAAAACACTGATTAAGCCTCTACTATGTTCCAGGAACATGGGGACAATGTGGTCAATAAATGTCAAGTCCCTGCCTTCATGGGGCTGACAGTCTAATATGAGAGAACAAACATTAAACAAATAGAATATGTATGTGAGACAGTGATGAAGCTGAGTGAGGGTGATGCGGGGCCCTGGGGTGGCGAGGTGCTATTTTATACAGGTTAGTTAGGGACCTCTCCCGTAAGATGATGATTGACGTAGGAGCCGAAACCTGAGGAGAAAGAGAATCAGTCATTAAACATCTGTGAGAAGAACATTCCAGACGGCAGGGCAGTGATCATAAAGGCTGCTACACGGAGTATGTGCAGAGTTTGCAGAGCCCCAGGCAGGCAGGTTGGGCTGGAATGAGTGACTGGGGTGAGGGGGAGGAAATGAGAGAACGGGGAGCCGGGATACAGGCTCTTACATGCTGACGTAAACGCTGGCTTTGTTCTGAGTAAGATGGGAAGATGCTGGGTGTTGAGCGGCAGAGTGACATGATCTGAGGTATTTCAGAAGGACCTCTCTGACTCCGGAGGGGAGAACAGGCCACAGGAGGGGAAGGGTGGGAGCAGGGAGACCATCTAGGAGGCAGGGGAGAAATCTTGGTGTCTTACACCAGGATAGTGGCCGTGGAGGTGGAAAGCCGTGCTCGGCAGATGTATTTTGAAGGGAAAGCCGAACGGACTCACCCATGGATTGGATGTGGTGCGTGAGAGGGGAGTCAAGCACGTTTACCAGGCCACTGACTCTACCACCTGTAAGAATGGATTTGGACTTTCCTCTTAAAGAGGTGGAGCAGACTGCAGGAGAAGCAGTTTGCTAGTATAGGCAGGTGGGAAGCGAGAATGGGAAACTGAGAGTTCTGTTGTGGACATCTGAAATTTGAGGCGCCTGGAATGCCTCCAAGTGGAGGTGTTAAGCTGTTGGAATTTGGAGCGGGAGGTAAATGTAGGAGTTTTCAGTGTCTAAATGGTATTTAGAGTCAAGAGAGGAGGAGATCATCTAGGGAGGGGGGACGACAAAGAAATGCAAGAACGGATCCTTAGGGCTGTCCAACATGTAGGACCGGGGGAGATGAGAAGGAACTAGCAAAGAGGAAGAGTCAGGAGAAGTCAGTGAGACAGAATGGAGAGTGATGCCATGCGAACCAAGCGAAGGGAATGTTTCAAGGAGGGGAAAGTGATCAGCTGTGTTAAATGCGGTTGATGGAAACATCAGGAACTGATCATGAGGTTCAATAATGTGGACATTCCTGGGGACCTTGATGAGCAGTGGAGTGGTGTGGAAGAAAGGCTGATTGGGTTCGATCTAAGAGGACGCAAGGAGAAGTAAAGATAGCAAACAATTATTTTTGAAGTTTTTTAAAGGGAAGCAGAAAATGGAGTAGTTGTCAGAGGGGTGAAACATGTTATGGACTGAATTTTGTTACCCCCCAATTCATAGACTGAAGCCCAATCCCCAGTGTGACAGTATTTGGAGACTGGGCTTTTAAGGAGATAACTGAGGTCAAATGAGGTCAGAAGTGTGGGCCCTAACTCAGTAGGACCGGTGTCCTTGTAAGAAGAGAAAGAGACACCAGGGATGTGTCTGCACGGAGGCAAGACCACGTGAGGACACAGGAGGGAGCAGCCACCTGGAAGCCAAGAGCGGGGCCTCAAGAGAAACCTTCACCTTGGACCTCCAGCCTCCAGAACTGAGAGAAATAAATTTCTGTTGTTGGAGCCCCATAGTGTGTGGTATTTGGTCATGGCAGCACGAGCAGACTAGTACAAAAATCAAAGGAAATCTGTTTTTTTTTAAAGAGGGGGGAATATTGTACATGTTCCTGAGGGAATTCCTGGAGCTATGTTCCTGGGTTGTGGAGATGCAATGCGGTCTGGCATACAAGTATAGAGGTTTGTTTTTTGTTTTGTTTTGTTTTTAGATTTTATTTACTTGAGACAGTGAGTGAGAGAGTGAGAGAGAGAGAACATAAGCAGAGGGAGAAGCAGACTCCCTGCTGAGCAGGGAGCCCAGTGTGGGGCTCAGTCTCAGGACCCCGGGATCATGACCTGAGTGGAAGGCAGACACTTAACCCACTGAGCCACCCAGGCGGCCCCAGAGGTTTGCTTTTGATAAGGCTATAGGCAGATTTGTAGATGTGGTGAGAAGGTAGGAGAATTCTCTTCTGAATCCTTTTATTTTCTTGGTGAAATAAAAAGCAAGGTCATAAGTGGGGAGGGGAAGCTGGGTGGAAAGTGGAGTTTGAGAAGAAAGTGAAATAATTGTCTGGCAGAGCAGGGGAACCAACTGACGAGAGAGATGTTGTCAAACAACTAAGCGATGCTAAGAGCCCACTGACATTAGTGGTCGTAGATTTAAAGTGAGGCTAAGTCCTCGTGCTCTTGTGTTTTTCTCCAGGATCATCCAGTCGGGTTAGAGGGAGAGATGGATCCAACTGGGGGTTTTTTCAAGAATGGCAGGGAGACCACATGCAAGAGAGTGATTATAATGATGGTCTGTAGAATCTAAGCTGAGAGAGAATGAAGGAAAGCACATGCGGGCATGAGGGGGAACCACGAGAAGGTGGGGGAATCACTGCATTGTGGGTTCCAGGAAGAGAGTCGGGTTATTATCATGGGTAAGCTGGAGAGATGGGAGCTTGTGGTCATGGGATGCTTGAAATGGAAAGGATGCAGAGGGTACAACTGGAATCCAGCCAGCTCTAGGGGATGACTGACTGTAGGCTAAGGTAGGGGAAAAGGAGCAGAGAATTGGTCACGGAATTAAGAAGCCTATGTGGATACTGAATTACTCTGAGACCAAGAGGCATGGTTCTGCCGTGGCAGCAAGCTCAGGCAAAAATCCTCAAGGAATGCGGGGGAATGATGCGGGGCTGTGTGGATGGCTGAACCACGGGGGGGGGGGGGGCAGCAAGTTGTAGAGAGGCATGAGCCTCAAGGCTGGCCATTTTCTGAAAAAAGAGAGAGAATGGTCCGGAACAGGGTTTCTCAACAGCGGCACGGTGAGTATTTTGGGCTGGGTAATTCCCTGTTGCAGAAGGCTGTCCTGAGCTGGGCAGCATTCCAGACTTCTACACAACAGATGTAGCACCAGCCTCCAGCTGTACAAGGAAAAATGTCTCTAAGACTTGACTAAATGTCCCTGGTGGGGAAAGACCGCTCCTGGCTGAGGAATGCTGATCCTAAAGCAGCAGTGATGAGCTCACAGGACACCCACCTGACTTGGGGCCCAGCGGTTACAAGGAGTGAGGAAGAGCAAGTAGCTAACGAACACTTTGCGAGGCTCGCAGGGCCATCACTGTCTTGTGGGAAGATCAGATTTGGGTTAGAGAGCACCGAAGGGAATCTTCCCAGAAAAGGGTGGGAATACAGGGAGTATCTTAGGATTTACGGCAATGATGTAGCTCACATCTACCAGCCCTAAGGAGGAAAGAAATGTATCCCATGATGACCCGACAGTCCACGTTGCGTCTGCTTACTTCACTTCCTTTGCCTGACCCAATTCACTGCTCAAATGAGTCACCGGCTTCTTAGTGGCTCTTGCAATGCCGATTTCAGTAGTGAGAGCTGATACACACTGAAATCAGGAGTCCCAGAGGAACACACCGACTATATGCAGGGAGGCCCTCGGTAGGGATGCAGGACCAGCGCTGCGTGCTGCCTCTTCCCAGAGTCCCTTTCAGGCGCTGACAGCTAAGCAGGCACACTAGGACTCAGAGCTTCTACTGAACTTTCTAGCTCTACAGACAGAAGGGAAGACTGCTCTCTAAATAACAGAGGGTTGGGAGATGTGAGGAGGATCAAAGTATCCAGAGTGCCTGGCAAGAGTAGACCTGTAACAAATTTCTGAGCTGGTATTTCAACACTGTTCCCCTTTATTTACTTACTACTTGTATGCCCTTGACCAAACAGTAATCTAGGCTGGCGAGCAGGAGATGGACGTGGCCTAGGGGTGAAGCCGGGGACCTCCACCAAAACAGCAAGATCCCATTATAATCCATTTAAAGTGTGCTAGCAAAAAGTAGATATGATGAAAAGCAGTTTTTAATTCTTTGAGGGAAACAGCAAACATGTGGCTTAGGGAGAAATAAACGAGTTACATATCCAGAAGTCAGGAACTGAACTCTCCCCGTGATCACTAAGTTCCAACAGCGTAGATTGCTCCGTTCCTGCACAAGAAAAGGGAGCCTCAGTGTAGAATGAACCCTGCCAACCATCATGAAGAGAAACGTGGTCTCTGGTGCTCAATCATCTGTACATACCATCAGTGAGTGACTCACAAGAAAGGACTGGAAATTGAGAGTATAAGATAAGGCACTCTGTTTTTAATTCTATCCGCTTCTTCAGAATTAATCAAGGTCTGGGGTCCTCTGGTAATTGGAAGTTGAACTGGCTGCAGCTTACGGGCTGGCCACGTACCCAGGAAGGCATCAGAGTGCCACGGTCCTGAGGAGACTCCTTGGTGCGTTCTGCCCACCTGTCCACGTGCATTCCGACTTCTCGGCAAACTTCCCACAGCATGACCAGTGCGGGCGACCTGGGTGGCCTTTGTGTCCGTGGCCACAGCCTAGGTACCCACCTATGTGGTACCAAGAGGAGACAGAAGACAACCATTAAGAGTGAAGTCCAGCAGTTTACCATGGAAACTAACGTTTCTGGCAACATTTAGACTCATGGATGTAAAAACATGTAATAAAAACCCAGCAATAGAAACAAGCTATCTGGTGCCTCTGTAGGAGGAGGACTCCCAAGGACTGAAGACAGCAAATCAATTAAGATTTGCTGAAGTTCTAAGAAGAGTGTTGTTTTAACATTCTGCTAACTCAAGGTGATGAACTGTTTTGAGTTTTAACTGAAAAATAATTGAAATAAAAGAGAAGGGTAGAGTGGCTGAAATAAAGAAGGTAGTTCCTAAAGTGTTTATGCAAAAGGGTGCACGAGCCTTTTTTTTTTTTTAAAGATTTTATTTATTTGACAGAGATAGACACAGAGACAGCAGGAACACAAGCAGGGAGAGTGGGAGAGGGAGAAGCAGGCTCCCCACAGAGCAGGGAGCCCGATGCGGGGCTCGATCCCAGGACCCTGGGACCATGACCTGGAGCTGAAGGCAGACGCTTAATGACTGAGCCACCCAGGCGCCCCATGCACGAGCCTCTTAAGGCTCACCATCAGAGTAGGAACACAATAGAATACTTTTTAAAAAATAATTAGAGGAGCGCCTGGGTGGCTCAGTTGGTTAAGCGTCCGACTCTTGATCTCAGCTCAGGTCTTGATCTCAGGGTTGTGAGTTCAAGGCCCACATTGGGCTCTATGCTTGGAGTGGAGCCTACTTAAAAAAAGAAAAAATTAGGGGCGCCTGGGTGGCTCAGTCGTTAAGCACCTGCCTTCGGCTCAGGTCATGATTCCGGGGTCCTGGGATCGAGCCCCGCATCGGGCTCCCTGCTCGG